TGAATAGGACCTGTTTCTGAAAGGCCATTATTACAAAATAAATTGCTGGCAAGGGCACATCCATAGCTATTCAGTAAAAAAAGAAGGAAAAAAAATATGAAAGAGACATAGTGATAATGCACCAGAGACCTCAGCTATTGTTTCACTTTTTACATGGCACTCCCTATTTATAAGCAGAACAGTCATACTGAATAATTATAGAGAATTGGAAGATGACTGCATGATTTTTATTTTATTTTTTTAATGTGAAGAATGAATTGAGGAAGTTACTGAGATTTTCTTCTTGCCTTTTCATAAATAAATATGATGTTGTGGTGATGCCTTTGACAAACAACATGGGTAATGACCCCTGTTAAAATAAGAGTATGAGTGTACAGAATATGTGGGAACACTAAGCTGTCTGGAGGGACTTTGCCTCAAACTGATCAAGTTAGAGAGGAAGCCTGTAAATTATAATGTTAGGGAGGACAGCCAATTGTATTGAACAATAACTGAAGAATCAAAAAGAAAATTTTGAAATAAAGAAGTAGATTTTTTAAATAAAGAAAAAAGAAAGAAGCAGATGAAAATAAAAAAATCAAGACAATTTACAACGTGGGGGGTGGGGGGTGTGTGTGTGTGTGGTGTGTGTGTGTGCAGATATTAGGCTGGAAGGAGCTGTTGTCAAATCCTGCTTTGGTATTTCCAGAAGTTATCCCAGACATCATAGTCTCTGCCTAGAACAGAAAGCATAGTCTTCCTTTTGGAGATACACTAGTATGTGTCCAGCTAGCAGATTGTCAGTACGGGGTTCAACAAAAAGGCCCTGTTGTCCCCCTCCTAGTATGTACATATCTGAATTTGGATGCCTTCTCCCTAGCATGTGTATCAGCAGATTGAAGGAAGTGGCATGCATTCAACTAAAGCTAGAGCACTCAAGTTTCCTAGGGGTGGTGTGAGCAAGTAGTGGAACACATAGAAAAGGGGGGTGTGCTTGTAACCCACTCATCCTATGAGAGAGGATGAGTGTTCAGGCAGGAGTGTGCAAGTGTGTGTATGAGTAAAACTTCTTGGAGTTAGAGAAGGAGGTTTAGAAGTGTGCAGTTGTTAATTAAGATTGCAAGCTTTATTGTATTACAGTTACTGATATGAGTACATAGTTCTCCTCCAGTTAACTATGCACTGTTAAAACATTAAAACTTTGTGAACTAAATAATTTCTCCCTGTGACACATAATGAAGCAATGTGATTTTTAATCCAGGCTTAGAAAACAATACAGGAAATCTTCCAGCCTTCTTAACACATTGCCACTGCAAAGCAGCCAATTAGTCCATTTGATTTGAGTAGGCATCCAGAGCTACATGATAAGGATTTGCTGCTCTTCTAGTGAGCTGTTGGAAGCTGTTGGAAGAACCCTGCAATTTTCCTGTATGCCATAAAATATTAAGTCCAACTTTTGTCTTATTTAAAAATATAAATCCTGACCTGTTCTTTTTGAGAAAACACATATAAACACTCTCGTTTTTCAAGCCAACATTTCTTGCCATAGGTATGTGTATCATTTAACCTTCAGAGCACATTGGTGGAAACTGGAAGCATGGATACCACCGCCAAACTATGGCATATAGAGAAAGGAGAAGAAATAGTCACTTTAAGTGTAAATTTGCCTTTCTTATGTTTTTAAAGGTGTTCCTTGTTTTCTTAGTTTTCTAACTGAAATAAATAACAGTATAACCCTTACAATAATTTCAAAACTTCCAGAGTTTATCTCACAAGGTGATCCCACAGTGACTGCAGTTACAAAACAGATTAAGGAAATGTGAAGAGAATGATAAAGCTATAGTATTTTATAAAAAGTCTTATTTATCAAAAGACAGATTTTCTCGTTTTAATGAAGCTACTGTTATAGGCTAGAATACCTTCCATTGTTCATTAAAACACATGGCTATACTGTAAATTATGACTTCTTCTACACCAACATAAGGTAACGCTGAGAACATTAATATTGTATACTACATCTGTATGGATCTTCTTCCTGCAAACATCAGCAGAGGACAGCCATACTGTGACCTCTGTATTGTGATGCCTGTTTGCTCTGTGTGGTTTGCTGGGATTCCACAGGCTCAGATTGACTGGTTTTGCTGTTTCAAAGCATTTCTCTTACATAAATCCTAAATAATAGGTAGTGCAAAAGTTTCCTTTAGTATATGCAGCCTGGGCCTATAGTTTGAGGAAAGCATTTTCTCTTACTTGACTTCCTCTTCCTCAGAGCCCTGATAACACAAAAGAGTTGTGGAATGTGTGAAGCTTTAGATTGTAAGTATGCTCACATTCATTTTTCCAACCCTATTCACCAACACCAGTGACAAGCTATACTTCAATTTACTGTAAATGAATCATCTGAGTTCAGTATGCATTGGTAAACAAATGTGATTCTGTTTAAATCAAATATCAAAAATATGCACTGATGACATCATTGAACAATTGCTCACTGCTTAAGTGATGCATCTGATTTTTTGCAGTTGTTGGAATACCCACATGTTGCTATTTATTCTGCTTATTGATTGAATGTTCACACTGAAGTTTGAAGCCTGTACTACCTTTATGACCTCCAGAAATTAAAGCTTTTAAATATTAAAATGGCCAAATTCACAAAATTAAGAAGTTTTCCATTGTTGTTTTCTGCTTGCTGATTTTTGGTTTTATTGTAAAAAGGTGTACACAATTACAACAGTGCAGGACTCATGCTGTGAAGAAAGTAAAAGGAGTAGTTCTATAAGATGACATGAGTATGATCCAGTTTTTGTTATCATAAATAGAAAATTCAATTGCTCGAGAGATTTGCTTTGCTGTTCATTTAGCACATACATTAATTTAGCTACCCTTATATATCTTCTGCAATGAATAAAAACATTTCAGTCACCCGTTTAGTTGTTTTTCTAGTCATTAATTTACCCATTTGTTAACACAGTTTTCTATTACTGATACAATGATACTAGCATTGTGATAATAACCTAATTTACTAATCCTTTAATATATGTATATCCATCTTTTTAAGGGATCATTGCCTTGTAAGCCATTATTTCATAGGAAGCAAAAATGGCAATTGTACCCTCTATTCAGTTAAAGCTGAAAAATTTAGTGGAACTAGTATTGCCAGTCTTGTGCAGGAAAAAGTATAGGATTAATGAAGATTAGGAATCATATGTCAGTTTGGCTGTCATTTGCCTGTTACTTGGGAACATGCTCATGTTAAGTGACTGAATAAGTTCCATTTGATCTTCTGTGGATTTTATAAAAGGTTTAGATTACATAGAGTTCTAAAGGTGTACTGTTTGCAGTTTGTTGAAGTAGGAGAATAGGAGAGTAATGTGGAAAAACTTGCTGTGTGAGCTTTGTATGTAGATGAATACAAGAATTTTGTCCTTGGCATTGTAAAGTCACCACATTTCACTGGAAATATGTTCACTAAAATATTTTCAAAAAAGACAAGGAAACTTTTCCATTTTACTCCTTACTGACTCTCTGTCTCAAAGTTAAAAAATGGAATTGATATAGTACTGGAATCCAAAATGAGCTGTACAGCTTCATATAATTGCTTTAATGGATAAAATGGTGAAGACTTGACACCTTAACTGTACTATTTTATAAACTTACTTATAATTTATATGTGTATATCAAGATACACACTAAAAATTTAAATTCTCTTTTTTTGTAGGATGTTATATACTTTAAAAGGTTGCCAAGGAGAAATTAGCAGTGAGCAGTTCAATTGGGACTGTTCTCTCATTGTCACTGGATCAATGGATAAAACATGCATGGTAAGAAAGTTCAGTAGGTATTGAATACAGCTACTTTATATATAAAAATAAATATTTAATAAAGGGAAGAGTGTTATTTTAAACCAGTAAACACAATTATTTAAAGAACTGACAACTAAATGCAAAACCTATAAGCTTAATCATTTCAGTGAAGTCTAGTCAGATAACAACATACATTTTAAGGATTTTTTAATCATTACAATGAAATAAAAAATACATAGGACTTCATTAAACTGATTAAACAGTGACACCTTATTGGTTTGTATCCAGGTTTCAAGTTTATACATTGTCAGACATCAGAAAGGGCCTGTACCTATTACTTTATGGATCAGCTAGATGTCTGTCAAGTAAATTAGTCAAAATATACAAAAATGCTACCCTTGCTTATCTATGCAGATGTGAAATGCTATGATTGGAGCACATATAGCAACTGTAAGAGATCACAATGAGGAAATAATAGATGTCTGCTTTGATTACATGGGCCAGTTATGGCAACTGCCTCCACTGATGGTAAGTGAAGTGCATAAATCACAGAATCAGAGTGGTCTGGGTTGGAAGGAACCTTAAAGAACATCTAGTTCCAACTTCCCTGTCATGGGTAGAGGCCTTCCACTAGAACATGTTGCCCAAAGCCCCATCCAGGCTTGCCTTGAACACTTACAGGGATGGGCTAGCCATAGCATCTCTGGGTAACCTGTTCTAGTGTTGCACCACCCTCATAGTAAAGTATTTGCTCCTAATATCTAATCTAAACCCAACCCTCTTTCAGCTTTACAATTTCAGCCATTCCCCCTTGTCCTGTCACGACATGCCTTTGTAAAAAGTCCCTCTCCAGATTTCTTGTAGGCTCCCTTTAGACACTGGAAGTCTGCTCTAAGTTCTCCCCGCATCCTTCTCTTCTCCAGGCTGAACAAGCCCAACTTTTCACAGGAGAGGTGCTCCAGCCCTCTGATCATCCTTGTGGCCTTCTCTGGACTTGCTTCAACAGGTTCACCTTCTTACGTTCTTAAATGAAAAAGGTAGTTGGAAATGTAAAGGTGTATTTGCTACTACGCTTTCTAAATGCACAGCAGGAGAATACATAATAAAGAAGTAGTGAAATAAGAAATAAGCAGTTTTATATGCTTATTATTTTTGTAGGAATTACAATAAATAGCTTTTAGTATTCACCTGCATAGTGTTATATTGTAGTGCACAGTGACAATACCATATTATTTTTACGTACTTAACTGTTTTGATTTGCAGTTTCAGAAACAGGATACACTAAATGGGTGGAACTACTTGGATCTGATTTGCTGTAGTTGCTGAATTAAGACATAAGACAATGTAAAAAAATTTGCTGAAATGTAATCAATAGCTTATTAAATATAATTAATAGCTTGTTAAATAGAATGAATATCTGAAATCTAATGAAGGCTTTCGGAACATATTGTACATGCATCTACTTCAGTAGTCCATGTTCTATGTGGATATTTGATTTTACATTTTATAAGATTTCAAGCTGAAGCCATTAAGAAATCAACCTTTTCCAATTGCATTACAGATCTTTTTTGAGATACTTTATCCTTGGGGGAAACTGTCTCCTATGTCTATTGAAATCAAGCCTGAGGATGAGGCCTTTCTGACCTTATTAAAATGTTCTTATTGAAATGCATGCTTAAGCATGACAATCGCAAATGGCTCCTAATCTACTACAACAGGATCAGCAAGTCTATAATGCAGAAACAAAAAAGTGCGTTGCAAAACCAGAAGGGCACAGAGGCGAAATTTCAAAGGTAAGTTGTCTGTGGTTTGCACCTTTTCTTATTTGATTATGTGTGACATCCAGTCCACCAGTTGTTCCATGACATAGAAATACTGTTAAAAAATGTGGTGGTAAAATCATTAATATTTAAGATTGAGAAGTCTGGCTAAGAAGATACCTTTACTAAAAGAACATTCCTTTCAACTAAAAACTATCAGTCAATGATTCCAGTTTGAGCTTAGATAATCTAGGTGTGCTACACCTATAGGCTTCACCAAAAGCCACCTCTCCATATTGTCATGTTATTGACTATTTGATCCCTTAGAATTGTGGCAGTCAGCAAGCTACTTAAGAAGTCCATCCTCCCAGGGATGAATACCTGACTTCGTTAACATTGAAATGTTTGGTTTTACTTATCTCTTTCCTTTTTCTGAAACACTATATAGATTAGGTCTCTGTGTACAGTTCTGGTGTCTCCAACATAAGAAGGACATGGAACTGCTGGAGAAAGTCCAGAAGAAGGCTATAAGGATGATCAGGGGGCTGGAGCACCTTCCGTACAAGGACAGGCTGAGAAAGTTGGGGCTGTTCAGCCTGGAGAAGAGAAGGCTGCGTGGAGACCTCATAGCAGCCTTCCAGTATCTGAAGGGGGCCTACAAGGATACTGAAGAGGGACTTTTCATCAGGGACTGTAGTGGTAGGACAAGGGGTAATGGATTCATATTTAAATGGGGGAGATTTAGGTTAGATATAAGGAAGAAGTTCTTTACTGTGAGAGTGGTGAGGCTTTGGAATGGGTTGCCCAAGGAAGTTGTGAATGCTCCATCCCTGCAGTGTTCAAGGACAGATCGGACAGGGTTTTGAGCAGCCTGATTTAGTGCAAGGTGTCCCTGCCCATGGCAGGGGGATTGGAACTAGATGATCTTAAAGTCCTTTCTAACCCTAACTATTCTATGATTACCACTTTTGCTGCACAAGACAAAATCAAATCTTTGTTCCAAGCAGAAGAAAGTTGATGTTATTTCTGTTATTACATTGGTTTTAGTACATACTAAATAGGGCCATGAACAAACTTGTATAAAGGCAGGGTCTTACCCTACCATCTCTGCTATGGGCATATACCAGCACCAAACCAGTGACTAAGCCATTTCTCTCAATGCATTGAAGTGAAGGAGGTTTAGATGAGCAAAAGCCAAAGTTTTTTAAGGGAGCACACCTTTTGTGCATTTGGCACCAAACTCTGTTCAGGTTTCCCTCATTTCAGACAAAAAGTTGTGGGAGTAGGGAAAGAATGGTACAGAATATTTGTGATTGCTTTGATCTTTTGATGGAACTACCAAAATATGGGATGCAGGATGACCTCAGATAAATAAATTGCAGTAGGTCCTAGTGTCTCTTGCTAGTCATGGACAGAAAAATATTTCCCTGGTGCCTTGGCATTCTGTGTAGTATGTTGATGTAGGTATTAACAAAAATGGATAATTTTATGATACACCTATATGATTCCTTCGCAATTGCTTTTATTACTAGGCAGCAAAGATAACTCCTGCAGAATATGAGCCTGACTAAAGTGAATGAAAGATCCAGTTTGGTATATGCCTACTTTGTGAGTTTCATAGTGTAGTGGTTTAAACCCAGCCAGACAGCTCATTCACTCACTTCCCCCCCTTCTTGCCCTCCCCCTACTCCCAGAGGGATGGAGAGGAGAATCGAAAAGAATGCAACTCCCACAGGTTGAGATAAGAACAGTCCAGTAACTAAGGTATAACACAAATCACTACTGCTACCACCAATAATAATAATAATGATAAAGGAAATAACAAGGGAAGAGAATACAACATCTCACCACCAGCTGACCAATAACTCGCCCCCCCCCCCCAGCCTGACCAAGCACCGACCGATGCCTCCTCCAACCCTGCAGTCCCAGCCCTTCCAGGTAACTCTTCAGTTACATCCTGGGCATGACGTGCTGTGGTATGGAATACCTCTTTGGCTAACTTGGGTCAGGTGTCCTGTCTCTGCTTCCTCCTGGCTTCCCCTCCTCCCTGGCAGAGCATGAGCCTCACAAAGTCCTTGGCCAGACCAAAATGTGAGTGTTCTCAGCTCTGTTCCCAGGCCAAAAGTCAAAACACAGCACTGCACCAGCTACCAAGAAGGAGAAAAATGACTGCTGCTGCTGAACCCAGGACACATAGTCAACAAACTCAGTCTTTCAGATCTGTTTTCTTTTAAGATAAAATGAAATGTTTTCTTGTATTTCAGTTTGTGCATGTTGCCTTTTTATTGTGTACTCCCAAGAAGAGTGGCTTAGTTACCTCAATCACCTCAGAGAAATGATTAGTGTTAATGAACTCAGTATGATGGCCCCATCTTTTTGTGTATAATTTTTAACTTGTACCCCTTTTAATAAAACAAAATACATCACATGTGAAACATAAATACTCTCACCTGTGAAAGGGGTGTTGTTATGCACTTTCTCTGAGTGCTTTTGGGTTCTTGGTGGTTTCTTTTTTTTTTGCATGTAATAAATAATTGAGTAAAAATGCTACTTTTGCTGCTTGTAATGCAATGTCCCTCTCACTATTTCCAGAGAAAACCAGTAATCATTTGTGGTTTTCATTGCTATTAACTATTTCATGCATGCTGCAACTCCCACTCACCCCTCCCTTCACACTTGGGCATATCTTTCCATTCATTCCATTCCTTTCTGCTCAGCCTTCATTCTTCCATTTGCATCTGAGGTAAAAAAAGTAATAGGGTTGTGACTCCAACCCTGAATCCCAGGCCAAAGATTATGGCCAACATGAAAAAACTCTATGCACCAAAGATTTGGACCCAAGGACCATGACATAATCTGAGGAGCAGATGAGGAATTTCTGTAAATTAATTATCACTATTCAATGAGCTCTCACCTAGGCTGACCTCTTGCTAGCAAGTGCCAACAGGTCTCACCTGTATAGAGCTCTCCCCACTTCCTAACAGAGCACCTGAAACCGCAGCTGGTCTTTGTGGGGGACTAGCAAAGGAGCAGAGCTGACCAGTGTCTTACAGCAGTCTTGGAACAAGGATGAAGAGGAAAAGAAGGTAGGATCAAAGAAAGTATGTGTGTTGATTGAGAAAAAAAAGGAAGAAGCAAAGTGTGCAGTGCTTTATGTTTTATATCTCTGGGTGGTTATGGACTTGACTTCTAGATGTTACGTTTAATAGGAAGTTACTAATGCTGATGTGTTCTGACTATCTCTGAGCGCTTATGCTTGCCAGCATCCTTGTGTGCAAATGAAGAAACAAATGTGCCTGTTATCACTTGGCAAATATCCTGGTTGTTTCAAGTAGTGACATGCTGGGGGAGAACTAAGCAGTGTGCTGCAGATAGTTTAAAATTAAACCTTTACCAGTAAGCAAAGTGGCTGATATTAATGTTACAGTAATGCTTGTGGTGTTTCCTGGTGTCTTGTGCAAAGATTTATGACATCAGAAGTGTACCTCAGTAATCCCGAACTGAAAGGGGCAGGAAGGGCAAGGCAGTTCTCTGTTACTTGAAAATTGTCCAGTGTCCCTGGATCAGTTTGCACCTGTGCTTACAGGCGGAGGAAAATGTGTAATGAAATGTGTACAAATACTGCTACATAGTTTAAAACTTGACTTGTTGTGTAACCATCAAAAAGCAAAAAAAAAAAAAAAAAAAATCTGGACTGTGATTAGAAAGTAGAGGTTTGATTTTTATTTTTTTTTCCTCAGTCTTTCAGGCTAGATTATTTACTTTCTTTTGTCTTTTCCTTTATGCTTTTTCTCTCATAGTATGCTAGTGACCCAGTGAATCAAACATCTGAAGTAGATTTTGGCCTTGAGCTCTTGTCCTATTTTTATATGAAATTGTGAGTGACTTGAGGTTTCAGAGACTAAGAGTTGGACTGGGAGGCCATCTGGGTTCTATTTCTGCATTTCCCTGGATGCACTGAGTAAAATTGCTTTTCAGGCTGAGTTATCCAGGTTTCCTGCTCAGATATGAAATACTTTCACATCTGGTGTGATTCATGGCTCACGGCACTGCTGAGAAGTGTTCTGGCTTGGCACCTCATAAGAACTTCAATAGTAATCTAGGTACCATCATATGAATGTTTTGATGTTAGGCTTTCTGCACCTTGGTTTACCCATATGAAGATTTAATATATTATAGAGGTATACATTGGGAGTGCATTGTATAGATATATCACCTTGAAACCATTCTTTGTCTCTGGTAGCAGTTTGATCCTTTTCTCTAGTTCCACTTCAGTCTGCACTATCAAACTAGTGTATGTGCATGCTTTAACTGTATTGTCTGGTGCCTTTTTAATCTTATAAAAACATTTGCCTTGTACATACCTTACAATCTCCAAGAGGTTACTTTAATCGTTGGGTGTTTGGATTGGGATGTGGCTTTCAACATTATCCTGAAATGCTGGCAAACTGGATCCACTGTGACCTCATTGAAAAGGATGACCTCTGGAGACTCCTGAAATGTGCTTTAGTAAGGACTGACTGTAGAAATCATATTTAATGTATTGTTTCTGTCCTTTAGACCTCTGCATCCTTCCATCATATACCTCTATAAATATGGGAGTGTGTTTTTCTGGGAAAGAAGCCCTTAGCCTGTATCATGTAATGTCACCAGGACAGATTTCCATGTAAGCGCACAATATGTAGTTGGACTGTTGATGTATACTTTCCGTATCTCCTGAGATTCAAATTTTTTTCTGAATAAGTGAGGATAATACTCATACTCATTTTTTTAAAAGTGGCATCTTGTGAGAATCTCTCTTTTGCCTCCTTCTGCTGTTAGAATTTGCAGTTCCTGGGTAGTTAGTGAAAGGATATGAAATACGTCCTTGATTATATTTGTTGTCCACCATTATATAGCTTGGTTATATTTTCCAGTTTGCTGCACTTTACTGCCTAAATTTCAGCAGATGCTGGGGGGAGTATCCATCAGTCAGATCTGTCTTCATGGCAAATTGTTTTAATTAGTTTGATAGTCCAGCTGCCTAATTCAACTGTCTGTCCTGAGGAATGTTGTACAGCTGTTAGTTGTTTTCTGAAGGCCTGTTTGATGTGATGAGTGGATCTGAAAAATTGAAATAGTAACATCATGAGTTTGCTTTAACCTTCACTTAAGAATGGTTCTGCCTTGAATTAAAATTATTAAATTGGCTAGTAGGGATGTGCTTTCTTTCTCAGCTGAAATTTCTGTTGTTTATTAAGTAGACCATGTGGGCTCTATATGTCAATGTTTGTTTTTTTGGTTGTTTTTTTTTGCTGTTGTTGGTTTTTGGTTGGGTTTGTTTCCTCTAAGTTTTGAAAGTAAGAGTTCAGGATTCATGGTGACATTCCTATGCTTGTCTGTCACATAGCTCTGCACGAAACTGGAGAAATAGTAAAATTGGCCTCTCCAGAAGTTACCTGCTGAATTTGATAGGATGGCCTGTAAACAGGTGACCATTTTAATCAGACACCAATAAAATGGTTAATTTCCTTAAAGACACTATGAAAGTCTTTGGTGGAACGACAAAATTAAAGCAGGTTATAGTTTTTCAGCTTCTAGTGATCCCACCTTTAAAAGCAGCCTGAACAAAGCCAAATTAAAAATGAAGTTTTTAAATACTTATTTTTCAATAGGTAATTTCTCCTGAGTTTGAATTAATGTGTCTGCAAGCCAAATTCTGCTCTTCATTAGGTGTGTGGTAAAGTCAGCTCCAGGGTGGAAGGCACCTTATCCTGAAACCGCCTTGCAGGGTGAGAAGGGGAGTGGGGCAGTTCTGGCTGAGTTAGGTGCTGAGGCAAGCATCTCCGCTGTTCCCAAAGTGGTCTCTGATGGCCAGGATGTCTCACAAGGGGCATGGGGTTTGACTTCTTTGTAAATTGTGGTGCATTAAGTACCTATATGCTCCCACTTGAACTTAGGCACAAGTATTGTAACCTCTCATCTGTGTCAACCCTTTTTATTTGCTTTGCATTGCATGAGGCTTGTGTGAGTTCCATTTGTTGGGTCCTAGTTTGTATTGGGAAAGATAGTGAGTAGCCATTCCCTTTGCACCCTGGTGATATTAACAACCTGCATCATGCTTATGTGTACACAGAGGCTGAACTGTAGATAACTTGCTCTGTGATTTTTCACCTAAAATTGCATGTAGTATGATGTTCTTATTTATGTGTATTTAATTTTGACTTAATTTTTTTTCAGCCTGTTTTAGTGGTGGACAAGTCATGCTCTGATTTACCCAGCTAAGTCTTGGTTTCCTTTTCTGTTTAGAAGTAGAAATAAATTCCCTTATACCTAGGCAGTAAATACCTGTACAAACTTAAACAAGCAGAAGAAACTGCTGAATTTCTGTCTCTGACCCACCTGCCTGCTTTTGCAGGTACTGAAAGCAGCTGGAGAGATTTTTCTATGTTGGGAGTTATTTGAGGGTTAGTTCACAGCAATGAACACGTACTTCCTTTTTATTCTACTGTGATATTTAGACCGCTATGATTTGCCTTGTATCTCTTGAACGAATTGTGGAACCTATGTAAAGCCGTAGCTTTGATGCTGAGGTAAGACATGGAACTTGCCCTGACTTCTTTTGGTCAGGGCCATGGGTCAAGATTTTCATTCAGAAGGAGAGCCTTGAGATGCTACATGGATGGCAGGCAAATGTTATTTGATAAGTCAAAAACCCCATAGTACATGATGAACTTTCTAGGAAGGCAAAGAGAACACATGTTATAACACAAATTTATTTCTGAATAAATTGCAACATTAAGAACTATTGTACAGAGAAACCGCATCACACTGGTACAACTCCGTCGTTATATTTGTGCTTTGTAGGATAAGTAAACATTTATTCTATCACAGAAAAAACTTGTATACTGACACTAACTGTATTTGGTTTAAAAATAAAAACACTTTCTCATTTATTGACTCAAAGCACTGTAAGTCTATAATACTTGGTGCTTTTTATTAACTTTCAGCCTCAGAAATGCTGAGCATTCAGAGTTGCCACTCATGTTAGTGGGAATTACTACCCAGTGACTGCACAGTAGTGTTCAGTGTATGCAATAAAATGACCTTTATCTCACAGTAAAGCAACCTTCACTGTTTTGTGTATGCTGCAGAGTAGATGTAAATTAGTCTTGTTGTTTAATGTTCCACATTAGATTTTGATTCACTAACAATTTGTGTTTCATGAGTGATGCGATCATGCAAGTTTAGGAATGGTTTTAAAGATAAAATTGAGAATATGGCTCTTTCATAAATTATTTTAAACTATTTTAAAATTTTCAAAAATATTTAGTGCAAAAGGATGTTATTTTTTTTTTTCCCATTTTCCCAAGAAATATTACAGAAGCATATACTGTTATATGGAAAAAAATAAAACATCTCTTAAATATTTTACTGGGAAAAGCAGGCATGTTTTCTATTATGCTATTTAGGTAGAGAGAGAGAGGAAAGATAAATATTTTCAAAGAAACAAATAATAGAAGAGCTCTGATGTGATAAATACAATTACCTTTAAATTCAAAACCAATCTCTTTGGCAGAATCAAGAGAATGCATCATTAAGTGCATGATACTAACAGATCATCTCAAGACGATACCACAGATTATTTTATCAAACAGTTATATAAATCTTATAGTAATGTGAACTATCACATATAGTCCAAACACTTATATCCAAACTGAACAAGTATGTCTGCTGAAATTCTAACAATCATTTTGCTTTCTTGGAAGTTACAAAAAATAACACTAAGATTTTTATGAGATGGTACTATATTCAAATATGCATTTTTTTCAACTTAGTAACAATTTATTTGGTAAAATTAAAATAGGATTTTTTCACTGATTTTAACTGATACCTAGCATGTTACATAGTGCTTTAAATAGAAGCACTTCACATAACAATTGTACTATCGTTACTCCCTTTTACCAGGTAGAGACTCTGAGGCACAGAGGTGAAATGACTTGCCCAAGGTCATGAGAGGACATGGTCTGTGGCAGGACAGGGCTTAGAAACCTGCTGCCTTGGCTCACAGAGCTGTGTTCAGGGACATACTATGCCTAGCTATGCTGAACTGCACTGCGTCCAACTGAAAAGGAGACAGTTTTTTTAAGGGTGGAAACTGAGAGTCTAGATTTTATTTCCTTGAGAAGAAGACAGGAATTGGGAATGGTTATGGAAGAGAATCACATGGAAAGAAACTAAAATGTGCTTTCAGCAGCTTTTTATTGTGTTGACTAATGGCAAGTTAAGTGTTCAAAAGTTTTTACCCCTTAGATTATAGGGATAAAAAAAAGAATTATTTATCTAGGGATATGTGCATCTCTAGGCATCTTGGAACACACTCTGGTTCTAATAGTTAAGCTGTAAAAATATTGGCAATTAAAAACTGAATGTTTGTGTACTATCCCATTTTGGCTGATCGATTTAAACCAACTGATGAAAGTGGAACACATTAGACATTTAATTAAGCCTTTACTGTATATTCCATTAATTCAGAATACTAAAATAATCCATCCCCTTCTGGTACAGTACACCCTATAACACAATATGTCACGAGCCCCTCATGATACAGAAAGATACAATACACCTTGGTTTCACTTAGCTTCTTCAGTTCTGGAACAGCCATGTGCTGTTTCTCTAGAGTTTGTATATTTTTGCTCATTTTATTCAGTGGCATTCAGAAATCAGAGCATTACACAAACCACTGCTTATTTAAACTGGAATAAAACAAAAATGCTGAACAGGTTGAACTTTCTTAACCCAGTTCGAGAAGCCAATCAAACAGGCTTGGTGTCACCACTTGGCCTTCCTCACTGAGCTTGCAGTACTGCACCACGGCATGAAAGATATCCCCCACTTTCCAGGACTTCCGTTGAACTAATTGCACAACATCTGAAAACTAATAAAAAACCAAAACAAAACACACTCAGGATTTGCTTAATGCTTTGCTAATGTTTTGTGAAATTAATACACAAACCATCCTTTGAAAATGCACCGCTGTGAGTGGGAGTGGGCACAGTTCATTACACAGTAACATACAGTTTCTTTCTATTTATAAAATTTCATTGCTGAAGTTCTATAGCTCCCCAAAGACTGCCACATCTCAATGTTTTCTAGATGAGCTGCAATTATTTCTTATTTATTGCAATGAAATTAAGAACAGTGAAAGTGAGCTTGGTAAAGGATCACAACTTTCCTTGTTACCAACAACTCACTATGAAAAGAATGGAAGTGTGACTATCCAGTCTGAAGAATTAAAAAAAAACCAAAAAAAAACAAAAAATCCCACTTCTTTACCATTTGCTAATTTTAATTTGTATTTAATTTTCTGGATTTCCACATACCCATCCAATAGTGTATTAAATATTCACATAGTACTGGTGAGAGGAAATTCTAGGTAAACTTCTGTGACAAGAAGACATTTGCTACAATTGTGGTTGAATCACAGAAAGTACCTGTATTTGATTTTTAACTTCCAGATCAATCAGAGATTAAATATATATTCTTATGCAGCTGCAAAAAAATTCTGAATTTTGTCCACTTTATACTTAAGCAAGGGCTTCACAGTGTCATACATCTGGTCCCATTTTTTTTTCTGAAGCACATAAATGAAAATCAAAGCTTTTAATTTCTTTGAAATTCACACTCAATATCTAATTGGCTTGATCCTTCTGTGATTCCAGTTTTAAACCGCACAAGAAAATATTGTGTCTCTAGTTAGTGTAGCTGTTTGCTATTTACATACTGAAGCCTAAACTTTTAATATGTATTTTAATGATATTTAATAGGCACGTGACTTCCAAAAGCACTGTTGTAGGCAGGATGTGCTTCATTATTCTCTAGTGTATTTCTGCAATTGAATTAGCTGTTTGCCAAAGCACATGGGTAAAGCTGACAGCTGTTTCTTTAATTAGATGCAATTTGGACTGTTGCTGCTGAATGCATTTTAAATTATGTTTATGATTCCCAAATGCATGTACTCAAGAAAATCAAACAATATCTCTGCTACTCAAAATGATCTTCCCATAAGAGACCAAAATAGTGATTTGTAATACTTTTTTTTAATTTTATTAATTGCTTGGAATTCTAAGACACTTTTTGAAAGCCCAAAGCTTGAGCTATTCTTACTGACCTTGGAAATGGGGCTGTTCTGGTTATTCCTGAAATACTGTGGGTGTCATTTGGGGTTATCCACAATGGAGCACTTAATGAATCATTCAGGAATAGGAACAGTCTGCACTTCTTGTTACCATTTTGGACTTCAGTGTTGCTCTTGTTGCCCTGGCTTGGACTAATACCTCAGAGATTTCTTGGTTCTAGTAGGCTGTGTCTGTCTGCCTCTCTCTGGAATCAGACGTCTGCTTTCAAAATGGCAGAGGCTGAGCTACGCATGAGTAGGAGCAAAAGGATACTGGCACACATAATACTTTATTATTAAGCCAGGGGAGGTACTTCATAATTTTCATACAATGATGCAAAATATTTTAATTTTCAGCCAAATTTTCCAAGTAATAGATGTGATTGCAAATACAGCTCCACTGGAAACACTGGCTGGTCACTGCCTGAGCTAAAACTGTCTCTCAGGGTAGTGGATACTACAAGGATATGCGTACACAGCTAAGTCCATCCTACCTATTCTCTGAACTTTCCATCAGCTCTGGTGCAGAAGCCTCATAATCTCGTTATTTTAGACAGTGGACCTGAGCTAACACAAGTTAGCTTTCTGTATTTTGCAGTTAGCCTCTTCTGTACATTTGTGCAGTGGGTCCATTCCCTGGTGACAAGCAATCCTTTTCTATGAGCCCAAAGTGACTATAAAGCCAGTGCCTTTGGCCACAGGCCCCTGCGATGCCTTGCCGTATCCCCAGCTGTAACAATCTAAGGACTGCCAGGCAGAAGTTCAGACCTGCCTGAGGCTGCCCTAATCCGTGTTGCAGGCAAGGCAGAACCTTGCCCACACGCTAGTGATTTTTAAGCTGCATGCTCAAACTCTGCGTAAGCCATCTGCAACTCTTCAAGTGCAGCCACATAAAGGGCTCTCTGTTAATTCTGACTTGGGTGTTGATACTTAACACCACTGAAAAAATGAACAGATTCATCAAAGCATGTTAGAGAGGCTTTGGAGAAGGTCTCATGGCGCTACTATTTCTTGTGCCATTAACAATCTACTAGTTTACATACCTTCAATTCTGACACATTTAATCCATTCTTCCCCTTCTGTAATAGACAATAGAATTGCCATCTTGCTGTAATGAAGATGTTTTTGCATCTCCCATTAAGCTTACTAACTTCAAGAAGTCATAGTAACTATTGTGATCAAAATGAATTAATAGCATGCCCACTTCTGTAAATACTACCTTTTCAATTCTGTTTTCCTGAGATTTCTTAAAATAGATGGTTGGAATTCCAAGTTCAGAAGCGGCTATCCACTGCAGGGTGGCTCGCAGCTCCGCATCGGGGCACTCTGGTTCCAGATCAAAGTTTATCACCAGTAGGTCCTTTTGACAATTAGCTGTTCCCACTGAAAGCCCAGAAGTACTTTCTGGAAAAATAATCCCAGCAGTTACTGTGCAATTACTCATGTTAACTTCAGCCTGTATGCTTCAATCGATACGGTTCAACTTACCCTCTGTATTTTCTGTCTGTTCTTTAAGGAAAACCTTTTCTTCTATTAATTCACTTAGAAACAAACAACAACAAAGCTTATTAGTGATATTTAGGAACAGTCTACAACATTGCTTCATGATGGATAAACTTCTCCCTCAATGTAAAACCTAGAAAACTGCAAGAAAAAGGTTACATAGGATGGAATAATGAAATGCTGAATGTATTTATTTTTATCTGTAAATCAGGAAAAGCTAAGGGAATTTCATCATTCTTACTGTAATAGGATAGAGTACTTGTAATGGTTGTGCTGTGTATTATGTTTCACCAGGATCTGCGGATCTTCACATTTTTCATGACAAGTAAATGACACTATGATAAGATACAGCAGACCTCAGAACCTGAGCGGAAATACTGAACTTCCAGTGTCTACATTTTGCAGTGCTATACTCCCTGGCTGAATCCCCTCCAGCTTTGCTCTCTACTTTCATCTTTCATAATTAAACACGATCATAACTATCAATTACTTCAACTACTGCTGTTTTTAAATGTATTTGCTGTTTGGATAAACAAATTCTGTTTACACCTTGTAAAAATTTCCAAAGATCTTAAATTTCTTGTGTACCATCTCTTTCCTAAACTACAGGAAACAAACTCCAGGCATGTAGTCACTGCTTCAGCTTCCATTTCTGAACACAATATCCATGCTTATATATATATAGCAAGGGGCTGCAAATTCGTTATTGCTGCCACAGCTCTTGCATTTGTTTCATCATTTGTGGAGGGATAGCATTTGCAGTACACATTTCCAAACTGTCCCATCCTGCCCTCAATCAGGGGGAATGCTGCAGGTATAAGATTTTGTTTCTAGCATAGGACATTACTCTTTATCGACTTCTTTGCCACCTTCATTCACAAGATTTCAGAATCTCCCCCAAAGCTTCAAAGAATCAAGATTATATATTCTCATGTAGTGGTTACTGCAAGATGTGAGAGGAAAGAATAAAAGGGCAGTATAGTTTGTCATGACTTAGAATCATAGGTGCTTAATTCCCGTCAGGCTTTTTCCAGTTTTCTGTTTGAAAAGCAGATACATTCTGTGCCTTGATTTTGACTTGTGGAAGTACAAGCTTCTCATGCCTATCAGCTAACAGCTGAGAATAGCTCCTGAAAGCTAACGAGGGGAGTCAAAAATGTATCCCTTTGCTCCTCAGAAATTTTAGGGAAAGGAGTCACCTTTAGGAATACGTGCAGGAGGTATCACTGTCTACTGTGAAGTTTGGAATGTTTTAACAAGGTTAATCTACAAGTCGGCAGCTGAGAGAGAATGTACATAACTACAGAAATATGAAAGCCCAGATTTCTTACAAAAAGAAAGAGCCTTTTACAGAAAAAGCAGGGCAGTTGTAGTACAATCTGGTAGCAAGCTGCGAAGATTTTCTGATGTCACTGACTTCACAAAGATCCCATGTTCAATGTTTGATATATGGTTTGTACACTTCTGCAATGACCATGCCCTGACTACATTGTGACATTCACCAGCTGGCAGGTTATACCAGGTTTCAGGGTGCCAGAACCTTTTAAGTAGGTACTTACACATCTCTTGATAAGCTAATTGAATGCTAAGTAGAAACATGCCCAGAAACAATAGGTAAGATGTACTTTGGGCCAAATTATTATTTTTATTTGAAAGAATGCTATCAGATTTTTTCCTTTTATTTTAACAGATTCTTATTTGCTTGACCTTGCTTGCTGTTACAGTAGTTTTGACAATATTTGAAGTTACTGGGAGAAGAAAGTTAACACAATGAGAAACCCATACCACAGAAAACTGTCTTTTAGTCACAGCAGTTGGTGGATCCATGCTCTTTTGAGAGATCTGCCTGGGTTAACTTTCCTGGGTAATCTTTCACTCTCTAGTGTTATCACTCTGCACAGAAACCTTCATGTGCTTTTTCTGAAGCTAACAGCAGGCTCAGCAGCAGGTGCAAAGCAGGGCTTGGCTCATTTTAGATGGTGTAAATGATTTGCAGTTCAAGTTGGACTAAACATCAAATCTCACTTCAGTGACTACTTACTTAATCGTAGGAGAAGATGGCATGTTCTCCTGATAAATTTCCAGGTCCATAATGCCAAGGCTGCTAGTAGTACTGCTGTTACCATTGCTGACAAAGCAAAAGTTTAGATATTAGTGCCAAGCTGCACTGAATATGTTCCCATACGTCTTTTTTGTAATTTACTTATGTACAAAGCAATGTGAAGAGGTGCCCTCTGTTATGCAGAGTTCCACAAAATCCATTCCACTCAGCAAGCGGTTCCCAGAATGAAGCACACTAATCTGCTCAAAATAATGAGGCTTTTATAAAAATAGTTCTAGATAGAGCATGTATCAAGTGATGTTTTAAACTGGAGGAAATAAAAAAAGTGGACTATCTTCTTGTGAATGCCTTATGCAATGAACATTTGGCCTCTTACAAAAAAAGCAGTCTGCGTGAGTCCTTGAAAAGGATTACCAGGTACGGAGATGCCCTGGAAGAACCTGCAGAGATTGAGATACCTCTGAACATGGTGAGTTATAGCAAGGCATTTGGTTGCCCATCATACTACTTACCTATTGGGTGACTCCATGCCTGTAACCAGCAACAGTTTCAGTGTATTGTATCATACCTCAAATACTATCGGGGATCTGATGGAACCCACAGGTACAGTGACAGCCCTTTATGTTTCTGACTACTCTGAAAGACAGATTTTGATTATAGCCAGTGCCCACTGGGACCAGTAACAAGAAAAAGTATTCTCCTTGGCTTTTTCATTAGGATGAAGTATGACATCTGAGAATATTTGGAGAAAGTAGTACCAGTTCGCTTTATAACATCATTATAAAATTGATAGTGAATGTGTATGTAGATATTGTGTTCATCTTGTGAACAGGTTGTGAATTTGCCGGCTGCAAGTGAATTAGCACAAGCCAGTTCTGTGAACAAGTGAACATGAACAGCTTAATTTTTATCAAAAAAACCCCAACAGAACTAATAGTCTTTTTTTCCTTACATTAGAAAGATTGATTAGCTCTTTTCCCCATCAGGTTTTTCTGAGGCAGTGTCAGAATGCCATGCATTCAGACTTGCTGTAGCAATTTCTGTTTAAGTGCAGAGCCAAGAGGCACAATACGTTAGCTCTCTCAGACCAAGAACTTTGTTAAAGGTTGATACTATAATGATGGATGATGAATGTTCACCCACACTGACAGGCAGGTTTTGCTCGCCATTTTTTCAGCTATCCAACAGTGCTCTCTGACAGAGACTTTTTCTTTTCTTTGCTCATTACTATAGTGACTTCCTTCCTTATCATTTTGATACACAAGAGAAAGATGTAAATACTTTACAGTATTTTAAAACCTAATCTAAAAGCATGTTAAGAACTTGCTCAATCTGAAGTCATGAAAGGGCTGAAGTCAAACTAACATCACTTTATACAAACTCTAAGGACTAGATAACATTTGTAAATGCATGTCCTGACTTGAATAGGAACAAAAAGCAGCACACTGTGACGGGAGCTCTGGAATTTATGCCTACCCAAAGAGAACACTGTCATCCTCTGTTAATCTGCTTCCCCGTGCCATCCTAAGCATATCAAGGCTCTGTCTCTGCTCTTCTTGGTGTACAGATAACTGGTGGGAATATTAGTGCCATCAATCTCAGCTAAGGAAATGACAAAATAAACATTGTGCAAATAGCAAATACATCAAAGGAAAGACTGCAACAATTAGCTTGTCCGATGGCCCTTTCACTGTAGGACTGAGGCACTGGAGTGGTGCCAGGAAATTTTCTCTTTGTCTGAATCTAGCTGCTTACACTAAAAAAAAGAAATCCTGCTGAGAACCGGAATGTGGCTAATTTTTCTCTCTTTTTTTTTTCTTTTTTTTTAAGGAGATGAACTCAGTTATTAGGTTTTCTTTACAGTATTCTGAATGAATCTGAAGCTGTTGAACCTCATTCCTGATATGTGGTAGCCAGATCATTGGTCTGCTTGATTAGCTCGTATTTTATACTGAGAACAGACAATATGGGTACCTCAGGGATGGTTCGCTGAGTTGTAAGTAGCTGCTTGTGTCGTCAGGATTGTCCTCATCGTTAGCTAGCTGGGACCAGCTGCCAGTGCTTTCTTCACTGCTGCTGAGGTGGACTGGAAATTCTTCGGCTGTTTTTGTCTCTCCTATGATTTCAGCATCTGGTTTGCTCTGAGGACTGCTGCTGGTAGGGTGATAAGGAAGGCACATTGATAATATAGGCAAACAAAGTGGTACCACCAATCTTCAGGCAATGCTGCTCATTAAAATCAACCAAGCCACAACATTATACAGGTGCAAGGGGTTGGACAGGATTATAATTTATACATAAACTCCAGTTGAGCATATCGTCTGAGATGCTCTTAAAAAAAGATCTTATGACTGCTATAAGCAAACACAAAACATAGTAAACCTTATGCTGAAATACGCATAGAAAAGTTTCAACCTGCACAGAAGAGCTGCTCACTGAACAGGCCTGTTGCTTAGTGCACTTCAGTCATTTCAGTGATTGAAATATTGGTATATGTTAGCACAGTATGAGCATTTCTTGGAAATATATCTTGGCACTAATTCCCTGTCTTACTAATGGGTGAATAGGTTTCTTGACAGGGTTCTCGACAGGGTTTTCTACACTGTTAACATTGCAGATCCAAAAGACGTCTAGAAGTAAAAGTATGAAGGTGGTGGGGGTTGTGAATCACTAATGATTCTTAGGCTTCTGTACTCCTTAGGATCCAACGTTTAGACTGGGGAAGGACGAAGTATTCTTTTTCTAGATAGGTGTGCAGCAGGTAGTCAGAAACCACACTGCATACATAGGTCTAGACTGAGTTTAGAAAATACAGGGTTAAGAGATATTGTGGCTTAATGCTTTACAATTCTGTACATTCCCACAAACACACGAACAAAAAATAAAAACTGTATTTACGGTAACTTTTCAGAGCCAAACTGGACTTTGTGATACTTGCTGTAAGACTTTTGATACGTAGATCGGAAGGTATATTATAATCCAAACTCCCTTTTTTGGATGCTAGGAAAAAAATAGTTATATAACTGCAGCTCCAGAATAGCAGTTAGTACAAAACTGTAGTTTTGTTAAGTTTACTGGATGGTCTGCATTTGCAGCTGTGTGATTGAGACAATATAATGTGTACTGGCAACCCACTTCAGGATCCCTCCAGAGTTCTTACCTTCCAACATTTATTTACAGTAATGGCTGAGGCACCCTGTCTGCAATTGGAGCAAGAGATGACCCCAAAAATTCTACTGCTCCCAAGTAATTAATTTGTTTAAGAATATACTGAGACAATATCATTGAGGATATTTCATTTTGTCCTGCCCTCACTCTAGCTCCAACTGAGAAGTTGCTGCATTAATGCTGGATGCTAGAGAGAGAGGCAGCCTCCTGTACGGGGAGAAAAGGGCCTGTTTGCCTGAGGGCCTCTACTCTTCCAGGCAGTCAGCATCTGTCAAATAACTATGCCTGTCATCCCTGAGCCCTCGGGTACAAAACTAGGCATCTGTGGTAACTGAGCAGCCAGGCTGCAGGTGCTACTCAGATTTTTAATCCAGGGCATGTAGTACCTATTGCTTGTTCCAAAATACGAGAAATTTTTGTGGGCGTCGTTACATGGCATTTTGGGTTGTGTTTGATTCATTATGCAATTACATCTCAGACTAGCAATGCTTTGAACTGACAGTTCCCTACTTCTGAACAGTCAGTTGGAACAGTTTCTGTGTAACTGTGACAGGACTGGGTCTGTTGCGCTGCCTGCATACAAGAAACAACTATTTTATTTTCTTTTTTTTTCCTTGCTGAAGACCTTTTCCCAAGGCCTGCACAGCTTTCCCTCCCTTCCCCCTTCTTTTTTTTCTAGTTGCCTGTATGTCTGCTTGATGTTTTGCCTGGAGCCCTATGTGCCTATATCTACACTAGCAAGTAATTTCATGCGGTAGGAGTGGATCAAAACAACTGGTGCTCATGCTATCTATGTTATTTATATATCTTTAGGTTTTTACTTTAGTCTAGACTTGGTCCAGACATCTATGCCACAAGCAGTTCAAATCCCTGTGAAGAAACACTGGAAGCTTTGCCTTCCTGGTAGGGTTATGAGAACATCTGGTACACTCTTGTGCAGCTTCTAGTTGAGAATCCTTTATAAGAAATCTGCATTGCATGTGGCAAAGAAAGCCAATGCATGGAAATGAAGAGAAGCTGATTCAGACCTGCACTGCATTGCTGAACCAAAATACTCATGTAGGTGTAGCCTCTGGTTACTAATTCTGCCCTACCAGTCCTAATGCTTCAAACTTCCCATAGTTGCTTTAGGAACTCTTCATCAAAGGCAGAGGAGAAGCTATTAAAGGGCTCTTAAACTGTGCAAAAATAAAAGTCAAGATTCCAGATACGTACATTTCCAAATGTATCCTACTAAAAGCAATTTCCATTTAAAGGAAGAGAAAGGTTAGTGGGGGACAGCCAGTATGAAAGAACAGTGACATTGTGATAATTGTCCACCTAATGGCTACCATACACACTTCAAGCAGAGCTTTGTCAAAAGCCAAAACAGAGCACTTCCTAGAATAAAATGAGCTGCAAAATGGTTTCTAGCACTAGCATTCACTATGTCAAGCACTCTGAGATAATAGTTGCCGCAGTGATCCAAGTGATTGGCAATTTAGGTACCATTAAAGTAACACACATGACCAAGTATAGTTAAAAACAAGCGACGTCTTGAGAGTCTTGCTCTTAACCTCAGCATCCACAGCAATCCTCTACATTTGCATTATGTAGTAAAATGAAATTTTATTATTTTCTCTAAGTTCTACCAGGGAAGTCTTGAACTAACAGAGGAGAGGGGTGTTTTTAATTACTATTTTATTTCTTCCACTAAAGAATTTTTATTACTTGTATCTCCAGACTGTAAACACAAAGACGAACTTCAAGGTCTCAAAAATCTAGTCTTGTTTCCATGTATACAAAGCATTAGTTATATGAACAAGCATAGCAGAGAACTACAGCAGAGGTCAAATTCTGCTGTCTTCTGTCAGTGCTAAATCGACGTTCAAACTTTGTCCATCTTTCCTGTCTTAACTATGTAAGACTTAAACAACTGTAGAGAGAAAACTTACTTGTCTCTGAAGTATTAGATTTGAATCTTGGAAGCACGTTGTCACGTACAATGTAACTTTGCTCCAGAAACTGGCACTGTGATATATGATTGGGTGATTTTTATGCCATGAGAAACCTGTAGGCATAACTTTCTTTCTTTTATTTCTTTGAAAGTGCTTCTCCTCTTATCTTCGTTTATCAAAATGATTTTTACTGGGAAATTAAAACAAACACAAAAGCAATGTGCTGATTTTACTATTTTGTCACTTACCTATTTAGTAGGGAACTGGAAACTGTGTGTTTGCCATCAAAAGCTTCTGGAGGCTTTTCTTTGCTTTGATGCTCCTTTCCAGAAGGGCTACATGAAATGAAGGACTCTGAGCCTTTATCTGGCTCATCTCGTTGATCAGTTTCTATCTGAATTAAAGGCACTTCCCTATGCTGACTTGCAGGGAGGCATCCAGGGTTCTTCATATGCTGTTTTTTCTCATCAAAATTTACTCCATCCCTTTTGGGTTTTGATTGAGTCTGAGTTGTGCTTTGAGGATGTTTGCTTTCCAGCACTCGTTCTTGGCTTGTATAATCAAAAGAATCCTGCTGGACAACAATTAAATTTTTACCACTTTCAACAATATTTGCAGCCAGTCTGTTTGCATATTGTTCCACATGTGGTGGGGAATCACTGTGAAACTGGTCTGCCTCTGCCTCATCTGCTATGATTTTGTTCTTGCGCATTAGAGATTCAATAGAACTTGCCCACGTATCGTGAATCAACATATCTGTTATCTGGTCAGTCTTGCATCTTTGGTACAGGCATGAGTCAGACTTGCAAAGACTGGAGGAAGCCACTGTATTAACTGTCTGTACACTTAAGGAATCTTGGTGATGGTGGGCAAATCCATCTAATGAATTTGCCTTAACTGGGACACTAACTGTTAGTCTAGAACCTGATGATCTGCTGTCAGGCATTGATGATTGCCTAAAGCAAAAAGGTGATCGTACAGAAGGTGATAGCAAACTGCCACACCAGTCTTTTGAATTCCGAGGAGAAGATAAGTTATCTTTATTTTCTTTTTCTATTTCTCTTAGCATATACCTATAAAATTCTTCTGTTATGCTTTCTGTGCTGGACTGTTTGGATGGGCAACTTGGTCTCACATTAAGATGGCCATTTTTCTTGGCTACCTGTTGCAAAGCAGAAGTTAAGATGTTGTTTGCATTTTTTCCTGCATAGTAATCTAGTAGTAAATCAAAACCTCTTCCTTCACTTTCCATCTGGTTCACCATAAATCTTGAAAATTCATCTGTAATGCTTTCACAACTAGATTGCTTTGAGACAGAACTTGTCTGGCTGACAGGTTGGCCAAAGGCATTCATTAGGCCTAGGGTACTGAAAGAGGCTTTGGAATCTGAGTCCTCCTCAGGTATGCTCTCACAGCTTGAGGCTTTGGCTCGGCTCCATCTTTCACAGTGCAGCCTGTTCCTGGGGTGGTTTGGACCTTGCCAGATGCCATCAACCATGGAGAGCTCAGTGAGGTTCATGATCTTGGCAGCCACTTCATTAGCAAAGATATTGACTGAATCTGGTGTGTCCTCAAGGCTTATAGATTCATCTACTACCCGATTCATCAATCTTTCCTTTAGTTCAGGATGCTCATCTGTTTTTCTTTTGATCTCACTAAGTCTAGGTGCCCTGTTCTTCCGAACAACTGAACCATTACCATGGGTTTCCTTTTTCCTTTTCATGGTTCTGCAAGATAAACTCTGGGTCACCAGATATTCATTACCCCTCTTCCACGCACAGAACCAAGGTTGCTTTCCGTTTGAATTTTCAAGACAAATGGCAGCTATTTCTGTTGCCATAGAGACAACTGTTTCTGCCAATTCTTCTGCAAAATCCGTTATACAATATTTGTCCCTTGAATGTTTCACCTGTAGCACAGGCTGTGAAGGAAGCAAGACATGATTTCCTAATAAAGACAAGCTAACCTGGACATCATTATTTAGCACAGCATTAGACTTATGCTTGGCCTGTTTTTCTACATTCATGACAGTACTGGAAGACAACTGTTCTTGAACACCATGCTTGCATTCATTGTTTGCAAAGGTATTTTCTCTATCTGAAAATGATCTGTAGTCTTTCTTATGATGATTATTATTACTCTGATTTGGGGATTTGTAACAGTCTCGTGTGGTTCTTTTCAGGTATTTTTTCTTGGGAGATGTTTTTGCAACAAGTGCATTATGCCCTGTAGCTCTACTTGTTGGTTCTGAATCTAGTGGAGCAGTTTCCTTGCTATTTACGTCTTTCATATTACTTTTCCTAGTATTTGTGACATTTACAAGATCTTTGCTAGAACTAGTGCTGTAGGATGTACCAAATGTTTTAACAGCAGAGCTATCCATGGGGCTGTGTGAAGTTTCATGTTCTTTTGCTTGTGTTGACCATCCTTCTGCTCTTGTTACTTTCTCTGTCTTTGTCCCCCTGGAAAAGAGAGGAGAACACTCTTCAATTTGTCTTATGTTGTTCATCTTCTTGAAAGTGAAATATACTACGTTAAAAAGCAACTCATTTGCAGTCTCCATGAACATGTCTTGTGTACTTGAGCAGTTTTCTGAACAGGGGTGTAGCTGCCTCCTTTTCCTAGCCTCCTCCATAGAATGTCGTAGAATAATATTGGATAAGTTTTGTGCAAGTTCATCCCTGATTACTTCATTAGTGTGTGGAATCTGTGGTCTTGCTGCTGTTTCAATAATCTTTCCATTTATGGATTCCATAAAATGCCCTACATTTTTGTATATGTTGGGTTTTGTCAAAATTATTGACGCCTCTTTGAGAAGTGCCTCTGCAATGCTATAATTTAGTTTCTCCATGCTGCTTCCTAAAGCTATGCTGCAATGTAGAGTAATGGCTGCAGAAGTCTGAGCAGCAGACAGAAGTCCGCTCGAAGTAGCAGGGTACTTCTCTTCCTTTGTTTCCCCCAGACCACAAACAGCTACAGCACTTGCTACCTGAGTCATGCCACACAGTGCAGATGGAAATGAATATTCTGTGCCAGCACAGTCAAGTAGCTGTGAAGATGCTGTGTGTTCTTCATTATCAACTGCTCCACTGTTAGGCTGTGTGGCTTCTTGATCCCATCTGAATTTTTCTGCAGCTTGGGGACTAGAAATGGTTCCAATAACACTAGCTGCACAAGCCAGAGCCACTTCCAGTGCACTCTGGCTGTGTCCGTTTGAATGTCCTTCCTCAAAGTAATCTGAAACTTCAGCAGAACTTTCTGATTCAGTCCAGTGACACAGGCTGGGGAAGGCAGACCCTGGCCAGTCAGACATATTCTCAGAACTGTCTGGACTTTGCACTATGACAATCTTTGGAAGTTCATTCCATGATCGGGAAGCAGGTGCGTCTTCCGACTTACAGGAGCTTCCTACGGAGATGCTGACGGCAGCCTCCTCACTAAAAGTGGGTTGAGACTGTGACAGTCTAATGAATGCATCTTGTAGAACAGATTCTGCTAAATTTGTGGCATACTGACCTGTAGTTGCCCGCTCATCCTGTGGGAGAGGATCAGTTTTCCTGATACCTGCACAGTCATCTCCCTCTGTCTTACTGGTGTGTTTTCCTGTTGAGTCACAAAGAGACCCTAGCTCCTCTTTAACCATTTTGGTTAAAGATACATCTTCCAACACCTGTGCTGAATTAGAATTTTCAACCTCACTGGTCAAATTATTAGTACTAAAGGACGAAGTAACTCTTCCAGCTAATTCCTTCTGCCACAGTGTTTCCTGGTCTGCCTTATCTTCAGGTTGTAAGACAGCATCTTCAGGCACAACAGTCACAGCTTCAGAGACTCCAGTAGCTGCATTATCTTCATTAATGCAGTTCCCTTCAAGAATAGATGGCAACCTGGTTTTTCTGTAGTGGCTATTTTCAAATCCCTTTCCTTTACTTTTTTTGACATCTGAGGATGCTTCTGAAACACTTAACTTTTCATGACCTATTAAAAGGAAAACAAGAAATTGGTTTTTGCAGAGTACCCCATAACTTTAAAATGAAAACGGCTGCACAACTCTGTAATGCATTACTGCTCTCTAAAACTACTGCAGAAACATATATCTTTGTCTTTGAATAACAATTTAAAAATATGAATGGCCATTCATTTTCTAAATTACAAACAAATATATGCATGAATTAACATGAAGTGCAATTTATGTGAGCATTGTCATGGCTGTTTTGGAGTAGAAACAATAGCAGATTTATGCTCAGTCACATTGGTTTTACCCGTTTTACATTCATCAACCTCGTTGTCATCCTCTAGGTGCTCAGATGCTGTGAGAAAATCTTCTTCTATTGAGGACACGGAGCAGTTTGTGTCATCCTCAGGCTTTAAGACATGAGCTTCTACCTGCAGCTGTCTCTCCTGAACAAGCTCAAGTCCAATCAGAAACTTGTTTATTTCAAAAATGATGCAGCTTGTGCTGTTTCTCCTGTCCCCCCGTGCACACTGAACCAAGCAGACATCTGCCAGCCAAGGACACTGGAGGGGAAAAGAATTTCAAATAGTTATTTAATTGTAAAATAAAACTTATTTTAAGCTTCCCTCTCTGTAAATATCTTGGGAATGTTCTGTTGCAAAGATGCAATGCAATTTGTCATTTAGGTGTTTATAACACAGTGTGCAGTTACATATATGCCAAAATAAGACTGCTTGGACTTGATAGCTTTTATTATGCAAGCATTTTACTATAGAACCCAGCTGTATCACAGGGGCATCTTTATTTTGTTGAAATTACCAAATTGTTTTCAGTCAGCTTTGTATTTTAATGACAGACTTACTTGCTTTTAGTCATGTCAGGTTTATCCACCTGACATACTGTTATTAATGGCCTCATACCACCTGGTATTACCTATCCCTTGAGGGACTTGTTTGTGGGCATGAATTCCTTTTCAGGATAGTTTCCGTAGCAACACTTGTTTAAAGGCACCCTGGTAAGTACTGTCTGGTGAGATTGTTAAGAGCAAGTCACCTTTAGATGTTCCTACAGACTGTTTTCAAATGGCTTTTTATTTTGTTTCTCTGCTCTTCTTCCTCTCCTCATTTGCCCAAAGCTCTGTTATTTTAGATCAGTAGAACCTCCCACTGGAAATGGGCCTTCACTGGGCACTGTGTTAAGCCTTTAAATAAAACTGTCTTACCCAGAGATGCTGTACAATTAAATTGAAAGTTGAACAAAAACTAAGAGAAAGGAACTCTTGTTATTCTCATTTTACTAATTTAAAAAATGTTGGATATTTATACAACCACAGAGCTAAGCTGATACCTCTGCATGGGGCTACGTTTGTGGTATGGATGTACTCTGAAGCAAAGCCAAGCTTTTGCAGCTTGTGACTTTATGCTTTAGCTGCAGGCCCCCAGGAAGGAGCCATCCAAACCAACTCTGGATTGAGGCAGTAGATTTTAAACTGTGCAAAAGATGTCCTAGACCCCCTGTGCATTTGCAAAATATCTAGCATAATGTGACCCCATCCTAGACCTTTTGTCTTTGAAAATGAATGCAAAGCAAGTATCAGTAATAAAGGGAGTGGGATGAGTATTGTGTTGGAATAACAAGTTTTGTTAGCCTGCACTTTCTTGACACCTAAAAAATGTGTCTGAACAGAAAAGCAGATAAATTAGTGTGTTCAAACAGAAAAGGCAGATTAGATAGCTAAGAAATTGTTGCTGAATCAGACTTCAGCATACACCATATTGTGAAAAATGTTATTAAAAGCAGATGCAGCCTTAGATCAAATGTTCCCCTGCTGTTGCTCCAGTCCACAGTTTGCAGGGTTCTACTTGTGAAAAGGGCTGATGGGGAGCAGAATAATTATTGTATGAAAACTATGCGAGTCTCTTTACAAACAAATTCTCTGGAAAGCCAAACAGATGTAAGGACCAACATAGCATCTACTTATCTAACCGATAAATCTCACCCAGTCTCAATGCAAAGCTTTCTTCATCTTACAAGATCAAGATGTCGGTTAGTTCCCATTTGTGTCTTGCCTGCAGTCTCTCTGGGAAGGCTGCCAGTCTCAATGGCTGCAGTCCTTTAGAAGTGGGGGTGACTTGAGAACTTGAGTCATTTTGTTCGGGCCTCAAAACACCCTTGTGTGTACTGCAGTGGCTCCCCTCTAGGGAAGTGGGGTTTGGAGCTCCACTGCTCCTGCCACAGGCTTGTGCACTTATTTCTTTTTAGTCATTCCAAATTCGGCCAATAGTCAAAAGGGGCAAGAAAACTCAATGAATGGGCAGCCTCTCCTTTTAAAGATCAGCTTCCTGGTATAACACAAAATGCAATGATGTTTATGTACAGCTGTTTCAGGACCTGCTTCATGAAAGACTTTTGTACACAAGTTAATTTCAGTGCCTGCTATTTATTTTTTTCCTACAGCAAATGCTATGTTTCCTTCCTTTCTCTATGTGGTGCCAGTAAGAGGAATTCTCAGCCTCCAGATCACAGAAGGGGAACATTTAATTGGCAATAACAGGAATGAAAGAGTTAGCATGAGAATTTTGCCTTTAGCTCCTTTAAATGTTAAGCTTTAATTAATGCGTTAATTACTTTTTAAGTTGACAGAATCTAAATGAGGTATTAGCTCTGACATGGTTAAAGTAGCTTGGTATTTTCCACTGTCACATTCAGGTTTACAGTAGCCAGTAGGATTTTCAAGTCCTATCGTCAGCTCTTTTCTGAGGTGCATGTGTGGGAGAAGATGGATTGAGAACAAAAGTGGGAAGTAGCAAGACTTCACTTGAAAAGGAGCCTGTAGGAGCTGTGCCTCAATCTGGTTATGTGCACAGGAAAAGTTATATTTTTCCTTTCCCTGTTCTGTGCTGTCTTCCTGACTCCTGCCACTCTTGAAATGTGGGCTCATGAATCAATCACCTCTGCCACCAGTGCCTGCATTCACTGAAGTATCAACCACTAATGGTGTAAAGCATTACCAGCTGCAATCCAGACATCCAAAGGATCTAGAAGGCAATAGCAGAGTTTCTTTCCTATATTTGTGTTATACACACCCCCACCATCCACTGCCCTGACACACACACTTGAGATTTTGTTAGATTTACATTTTTATGTTTGCAAACTCACACTCATCTCTTTTTACACTCAGCTTCCTCTTTTCCATTTTCCAAATCCATCCTTCACAGGGGTGATATAACTTTAAAGATGAATTTGATTCCTACCTGGGGAACTTCATAGTCGGCCTGAATGTTTCCTGATGTTAATCCACTCAGCAGGACTATTTCATTTTCCTTTGGTGGCTGTACATTCATTGAACTGATGAGTTTGGGGAGATTTGGAGAGACACTGATCAACCGCTGTAGTGTGAAAGATAAATTTTCTTTCAGGTAATGAAATCTGAGTTGCACAGTTCTATTCATAAATGTCAAAATGAAATACCAGTTACAGGCATCCCTTTAGAAAGCTTGGTGGAACTTATTTCTTTGAGTTGATTAAAAATGGAACAGGCAGCATTAAAATGCACATTTTTTCTTTTGAGCTACCAGGCAAGACAATGGTGATAGTATAAACTTCTGCACAACTGTCCAGCAGGACAGTCTTTCATGCCCTACACTGTCATGTGATAAACAGCTTGATTGTATTTATGCATCTAAATGCTTGGCCTTTCTGCTACAAGTGAGTTCCTAAGAGACTGAAAATACACTGCCTGTTACTATTTAAACCAAAAAGATTTAGTAAGCATGGCAAAGAGAAAAGGGCAGATCTTCCAGTTTTCCTCCAAGTGTATGACAAGCAAGAAACCAAAGGGAAAGTTAGCTGGAAATTGCTGATCAAACTGATGCAATATTAGACCTGGAATAATGGAGGTATTTAATACAGAGATGAAATACTCATTTCTTTGCTGTTCCAGTGGACACCTTCATGACCTTTCATTTGTAGTGATACAGTAATTTTCTACCTCTTATGTATTTGTTAGAGCCGGAAGTGGTAATAGTCACAACATCAATGATGCTATGTAACAGGAGATTCATATTATGATACTGCTGGGAGTCCCCAGTGTGTGTAGGAGACATCTGCTCATTCATGTACAAAGACCAGACCAAAAGTACAATACCTACCCTAAGAGTACTTGCAATTCTTTGCTGCCACGGATCTAGCTGTGCTTGCGTTATGAACAAGGAATCAAAGATGACGCCTTACAGAGAAGTAAACGCCATATCCATTTTATGCACTAGAAAAGTGCATAAAATGGCAAAGCCGTTCAGGGGATTACAGATCTCTGGCACCCAGCCATATGCTTTAGTTACTGTGCAGTTCAATGATATCCCACTTTTTCCTTTTCATCTTCAAAATAATAAGCTAAAAATAATAAGCAGTACTGTTATTTTTCCTCAGAGTGAATTAGATATAATAAAAATTTCTGGCTTAGCAAAGCTAACTCGGTTTTGGGGAACAATTCACTTTTCGGTAGAGTGATCTTCAGATGAGACTAAGTATTTGTATTTGACATGACTAAATTCAGTGCTTCAATTCACTGATGTTTCAGTATAGTACGAAGTTCTCATAATTTTATTTCTTCAAATGATAGCCTTTCTTCTATCATACACAGTTCTATACGTATCTCTATTTTTCTATTGCCTAAATTGCCAAATTTATGAGATTTCTTATGTAGGAAATCATAGCATTTTGTTTATCTCTTACTTCAGTTCCATAACTTTTGTTCAGAATAAAAAAAGGTGAAGTCTGGAAGGATTATTACTTTACAGCAAAAGGCCCCAGTTTAACCCATTGCAATGCGTAATGCAAAAGCCTAACAGTACCTATTAGGAAATAGTTATATTTCATATGAACAACAGCTATGCTAACATCTTTAAAATTCTATGAAATGCTTTCATCACATCAGTGTGTTGTATAAAAATCCATTCAACCCAAGGCGAACTTACACAGACTGCATATTATACACAAAAACTCTGATGATCAAGTTTCCTCTTAGAGAAGAATACACAGTATCTGTGCTAGCAGTGAATTTTTATTACCTATACTATGTAGCCCCCGTGTGCCAGGTGAGGAGCAGCAGCTGTAGGCATGCTGGTGTGGAGCACTGCAGGGACCTGACTGGGCTCTGCTGTCACGGAAAAGCTTAGGGCTGTGCGGAGTGCGCAGGCAGTGAGTGGACCACTGTTGTAGGGCTGAGAAGTAAAAATTATACAGCTGCAGGTGATTTCTGCTTGTGAGGGAGTAATCTAATCTCCAGGCATTGTAAAGGCTAGCTGCATAAAGCTAGTTTAAGTTGGCTTTTGCAGATATCCAGCTCTAAGACTGAGAGAGAAACTCCTGGTATTTTCTTATCACTTGCTATACCTTTTGTTCCTTAATAAACACTGTAAAAAAAAAAAAAAAAAAAATAAAACCATTGCTTATTAGAAAACAACTAGTGCTTCTGTGGATTTAGTGAAGTTAAATCTCTCAAGCTGTTCTGCACAGTTAACCTGCTGATTCAACAGAAAAATAATTTTGCTGGAAGAAGCTGTATTTATTTTTGCCATCTGAACTTTTATAAGTCTAGGATTCAGAAAAACAGTTCCTGTTAATGAATGACTTGCAGGAGGTGACAAGGTCCCAGCATTGATCGTTCCCCTGTGAGTAAAAAGTGGTATCAGCAAACTAACTGCAATGCTTTACTGAGGAGCTCCCTGGATATTGTGAGGAGAGCCTACCTTTGTTCTCTTACCCTATACTGCAATCGTATCATTGTATTGATCATAGACACCAAATGAAAAATGAATTGGTGAAGGATGATGTAAACTCAAAACTGAGACCAGGCCATTGTATCTTTAAAATGTGACTTCCTTAGAAATTTCTTTTTTAATGGCGTATATTTTAAATAGCATACCATGATGTACTTTGTCTTAATGCTTGTAAAATAACAGAGCTTTTTATTTATTTTTTTTTAATCCTTTTTTTTTACCCTCCAAACTTTCAGTTAAATGGGTAAAACACACCTTTAGTTAGTTCTGTTTTACCTAGAACCCTCCTCAAGGCCAGATAATCAAACTATTTGAAGTTGGACTGAGTAAGAATGATCAGCTGAACACGACCTAATGACTAGAAGTTTCTCAAAGGTTTTTTGGCAGTAAGAAAGAGCAACATCAGAAATTATTTTTATGTACTATTATGTCAAATTGAAAAATTGGACGCATGACATATCCACGCTCTTCTCTGATACCTTCTCTGATAAAATCAAGGCTAAGCAAGAAGTCTACTCGCATGATAACAGCTGTAAATTCACAGGCTGCAAAAACCATTAGATATTTCTGGGATCGAAGTACGAAAAGCTAAAAAATATGGCCTGGCATTGAGATAATTTCAGACTCCTGATGCATTGCTCTCTGTAAGGGTTAAAAATCTAGGGCTGGCTTCGATTTGTCCATAGAATTTTGATCTGGGTTTGTATCACAGAGTCCTGGAGATCCTGACTAGGCACATTGTGCATGTTATTAAAATCTGTTACCTGTTTCACTTGCTCATCGCTGCAATCATCTGTGTTTGCATCCAAATTCACAAAACAAACCTGTAATAAGAGAGAAAAAGAATCAGTAGCTTTTAAAGTCATATTAGAATGGCAGCAACCCTTTTAAAGTCAATGTATTTTCCTTTTCTAGCCTTGTAGCTGAATACATGAAGCCTTCTCCCAGCACAAAAAAGGTTGAAAGGTTAGCAAAGAGAATAGCAGAGTAGATACTAGGAAAGCAGAACAAAGGAACAAAAAAATTCGTGACATTGCCTGCTCTGGCAGTTAGCTTGTCTGATAAATGGGCAAATGTACCAACTAGCTTTAATACAGAGGATATTAGAAAAGATAGAGGAAGTGTTTAAAAATGCATTTGGTTGTGTATCAGATAAATTCTTCATGTCTTGCTTTTCCAATCATTTCTGATTTTCAGCCACTTCTTGTTAAATATTTTGTAAGTCCAATAGTGAGTTGCTTTTAGAGTTTTCCCTACATCATCATTTAGTATTTTCCCTAATTTTCTAAACTTCCTAAGTAGAAGACTTTATGGATATAACTTTTTTAACCTGGTTCGCTAGCCAACATGCAAGCAGAAGTTTTTAGCTGTGCTAACTGCACACTACAGTAGGTAGCAGAACATCTTACAAGTTTACCTGTGATTCACTGCAAATTACTATTTTTAATGACAAGGTCTTCTGCCCCTTCTTTGATCATTATGAGTTTCAGCTACCATTTGATGATAGTCAGATTGACTTCAACAAAAACTTCAGATTTAAAGACGATTTAATTTCTGAAGGCTTCTCTTACTGATTTTTCTATATTTTTATTTTTTTTTTACATGATCGGAAGGTCATTTTCTAATCTTCAGAAGTAAGAAAATCTCTCTTCCAGCTTTGTTTCCAAGTTAGAAGTAGGGTCTCGAAACCAAGGCTGCCTGTCCTACTTCTGAGCACTGCAGATATATCTTTAGAAGTTTGTGAAAGTTTGGTGTTGTCTTGATTTAACCCCAAACCTGGCACAGATTCAGGGCTGAGCTGAAGCTAACACTCAATTTCAAATAAACTGCAGATCCAGAATTTACCTTTTAACAGTGGAGTGATTTATTTTTTTATTTCTTTTCCAGCAAACAGTAAATGATTTTTCCCTAATTTTATGTAAATTTCCCCTAGAAAAATAAAATGCTCTAAATTATCCCTCTCGCAAATATTCTTGTGTTAGGCATCCACATTCTTCTTGTGTGCCTGCTTTTACCCCAAGACAACACTGATTTCAGTTTATATATGCACATACCATATGTACAGATTATGACCATCTGCAGTAACAGCCAGCACACCAGATGGAAAGATCCAGCCAGACCTCTCATTCGAAACAAAAAAAAAAACCCCGCTGAAAAAGAAACCTTTTTATACTTTTATAGAGTTTAATGGCATCTTTATATGAACTAAAAAATATACTTTCCCAAATTTTTACAATTTTAGGAAAAAAATATTTCTCCACCTGACAATGTCAGGAATCAGGATAAGCATCTACATTTTGTGGCTGGCTAAATTTTAATAAATAGTTATAAAAATTTCTAAGCTAAAGTATTGAAAATGCCCCCTAGCAACGTCATGTGGTAGCTATGTAATGTCCTAAATATGTTAGTTAATTATAAAGACAAAAAAATTGTCTTACTTTCCACTGGTATTTTACATGTAGGCATTTTACATGTCAGCAATAGGTAATTATTACAAAGAATTAGAAAATTACACTATTGATTTGCACATGTACTTCCTCAGTGCATGCAATGATGCATGGTTCTGAAGCCACATGTACACATGGATGCATTTGCTTAGGGAATCATTAAATTAGCACCCAGGGTAGGAATGCTGAAAGGTATGGGCTGTTATTTAGGAACTTTGTTTTAAAGCACACGTGCCAGAGTAGTAAGGTTCTTGTACTGGACTCAGCGCGAAAACTTTGTGAAAAAGCTGTGCAGAAGCAGCCGTGTCTGCATGTACTTTCCAACTAAACACTTAACTCTCTGGTAAACCTCGCTTTGTCATTTACTATCTATGTGTTGGTACAATGGTATATGTTTTTGCTGTGGTATACACTAGCATTCTTACTAGTGACAGTGTCTACCATCCTAAAGGTATGCCTTTTCCGAACAGCAAAAAAATTCATCACCTCTATTTCATGAGGTGTGGATGGCATATAACTCACTAATGCTTCAGTAGAAGAAATAACAGTATAAGCAAGAATACCTATTATTTAAAGTAATATTTTCTTTCTTTCATATATTTTTTGTTTTCAGAACCTCAGAACCCAATGAACTTGTAATAAAACATATGGCAGTACCAAATCCAGTTTGCAAATACACTTATCAAATTCCATTGACATTGATTTATTATACTGCAAATGCTGTCTCTTAGCATTTTCCTATTCCGTGGATTTTGCAGTTTTAATTATAGATAATTTTTAAACAAAAATAGTTTTGCACTGGTGAAAGACACTGAAGAGCTCATTTACTTTTTCCGTTTTGTTGTTTGCTTTGAGATTAGCCCTGCTTTGAGCAGGAGACGGGACTAAATGGCTACTGTAATCGTACATTAACTCTACAGCTCCATCCTGACAGGCTCTGCACTACTGCTACCTTCTGGAAAGTTCACAGGGAGGGTATTTTTCTTAGAGATACTTCACTAGAGATCCTCAAAGATAAAATATCCATCTGAAAAATCTCTCGCTGTTTTCTGCTTATGTAATATAAAATTTAAATTCTCACTAGCTTGCATTGCTTGATGAGCTTCTAGTAATTATCAGAGACACTTCCATCAAAACAAGGCAAAAAAACACTGCAGATTAATTCATAATCTGTAGGGAGGAAATATTACATAGACTATGAAGAAAGAGCCAAGGTCAATCAGGTCAGCATTTGTTAACCTCAACTTAATTCTAACTTTTTTCCTTTAGAACAGGTGCAAGTTAATGCATTTTAGTTTAGTTTAACTAGAATCTAACCTTGTCCTGATCACAGTATCTTTGAATGTCACATCTTTTCACTTCCAAAATGTGTCTGCTCTCCACTCATACTGAGCTACTGTCTGGAAACATGTAGAACTGTCAAGATATTGTCTTTTTTCTGGCTTAGGAAATACTTATTTTTGGGGGAGAAAACAACAAAATTTAAATGGTATTATGTAATTAAAAAAAAAACACACCACAAAACCAAGAACCTCCCCCACCTCCCAAAAACCCCAACAAATTAAAAAAAAAAACCAAACACCCGAATTCTGGCTTTATGTAGTAAGATAGTGACCCAACAACTTCCCTCTTAGATGCTAATATCTACCTGTTTGCTCAAGTGAGAACACTATTTTTCTTTTGGTGAACAGGTACCACTGAACTTGAATCTCGAGCATCTATACTGGCAGAAAGAGGTATGCTACATATCCATAAAATATTTGCTAATAGTAAACTTTTTGCTATGCAGATTCCCCCAATACAAGATTTCCATACTATTTTCTGTTTTGAGAAATGCTAATGCCTCTTCCTATTGTCTGTATCAGCAGTACAGAAAGAAGGGTTTGTCTTTGAAATATCATCTTTGGTGAGATTAAAACAATCCCCAGTTTGGGGTGTTTTTTTTTTTTGTTGTTTTTTTTTTTTATTAAACTAGTACGTATATATATTTTTTAAGAAGAAAATCTGCCTGTTTTCGAATCTTTTTCTGTGTCAAATATACTAATTCAGCAGAGATGTTTGAAGAGCAGGCTTATCCTGCCACAACGGTAGTAGCTTCTTGCAAAGTGCTGCAATGGCTAAGAGCTGCTAGCAGTTTATGAAAAGAGAAATAGCTTTCTCCCACAAAGCATGAGTTCTTCCAGGTTCTTCTTAGGGAAGAGGTTGTAGTGAATATTCCTTCCTTTCACTGGCGTAATAGCTGTCCCTTGCACCAAACTGGTATAGTTACTCTGGTAAAAAAAGTGACAGCCATAGTCTTGTGCTCTGCACTGTAAAGGAACAACATTTGTTTGAAGTGCTGAAGGAGGTGCTTATTTCCCCCCATAAAATCTAAATGCATATAAATCATATACCACTCTCCCAAATAAATTTCAGTATCTATTTTAAAAGAAAGGAATTTAAACTGAAGAGACAAGAAAAGGCTTGAAAGTTAGAACAGATGGCTTGTGCAACCTTAATTCTATCTCGTATGCCCACATTCGTGCAGCGCAGTATCTCTGTCTGATTAATGCTGACTGCAAAAAGGCACAGAATTATGAAGAAGCAGAGAACTACATATCTGCCATTTTCTAACACCTGAGTTTATGACTTTGTGACCTAAAGGACACACTTAAGCATGGTTTCTTCATTTCTAATCTGTATGTTAGTGGATTACAACCATGCAGTTAAAGACGGCATCAAAATGCCAAAATGATGGTAGGACAGCATTCAGGTGGTACAAACCATTTTGCCCCTGTAACTCTACCACTGCATCCATACAGCTGATCCTCCTCAGGTTTGGCCTAGGTATTACTAGCAGGCTAGCTTTGAACTGAAGCAGCGACAGTAACTCCACAATAGGAAAGGCGAATTCAAACTGCGCTGTTCTTGCACTTTAAGCTTTCCCCAGTGACACTCGGTAGCTATTTTGTTCACTTTAAATGTTATCATATGTTGCTGACTGGAGTCCAGTGGTGGGAGCTGGAAGACAGCTGTATGTCAGGGCAGTTGGCTGTCTCCTCTCTTTTTGGTGATGAGGTATGAAACTCACAATGTGAATTTTAAATTAACATGCATCTGACTGTGGTTGTTTGTATCTTCCTTTGCTCCTTGCGCCCAGTGTAAGTAACATGCATCTCTGTAATATAAGTAACATGCCCAATGTAAGTAACATGCATCTTAGATTAATGCAATGACGTTCTGATTATTTAGCATTATCCTTTGAGAAATTAAAGGCTTGTACCTCATTTCCACATTGTTTCCCCTCTAAATTATGAGCAGGTATTGATGTTCTCAAGATGTGTATTGTTTCTTACACAGTATTGTATTACTGAACACTTTATCTTTTTTTAAATGTA